ACAAATTTCCTTGTATTATTCATAAAAATATTTCAGAGTTTATCTTATGAATAAAGTCTCCACTCTTATGATTCCTAATTATGAAATGTCACTTTTATACTTATCTTCATGAAATTTAAATACAGAGAAATTAATACCTATATAATATAAAATTACATTCTTTGATATAAGTTTCGCGTGTCGTGAACATTTCATTTCTTCAAGCGTTCAACCAACAAGCTAATAAAATTATTTCAACATCGTTTCCAGGAAATAAAAAAATTTCCATATTACCATTACACAAAGATAAAATAGAAAAAATGAGAATCCATTTGATTTGTTTATTTTTTTTTTGTAAAAATTAATCATTTTAAATTTGTCTATTTATATTTAATTTTTTCAATTAATTTTTCCCATTGAAAATTGATTTTGTTTTAATAGATGAGAATTTTATTTTTTGCAAAATGACTGATAAAATTATTATTTAAAAAATTTTTCTTCTTATATATATTTTTTTAAAATTAATATTTTACGAGGATAAAATTCTCTTCAGAATGAGGAGTATATTTTTTTTATTTTAACTAAAAAAGTGGTCTAGGGCAGAAAAAAAAGTATAAAGACTGGAAAAAATAGATTTTCTCTGTCATAAAACAGAATAAACCGCCGATTTAACGAGATGGTGCTTGTTTTAAAATCCACACTTCTGAAATAACGATGCGGGGTTAGTGCATAAATCACTTGCAAAAGTAACCATTATGTCAGACTGGTGGTATTTTTAATTAAACTTTCAAGGCATGTTTCCTAGGAATCTCACTCTTTCGTTGTCTACCTATAACCTATATATACTATATAGTAATTGGAGGCCAGCGGCACGTGAAGATAATGACTGCGCGACGAATGCAGCTTCTTGAAACGTATTTAAAAACAATTAGATTTCCTTTTGCTAGTGGGTATACTGTATATATAGTATAGTGAAAATCCAAATAACAGTCAATGCTAGAGAGCAGCTTTCTTGCATCAAATATTAATTTTCAGAGGCATTACTGCGGCCTAGTTTCCATTTTATTGCCACTGAATATTACGATAGCATTAAAAGTTTCTCCACTTTAAACTCTTAATACATATATATATGTATACTGACTTCTTAGAATATTTTCCAAAATTAAATTCTATTTTTTCCAACAGCAAAAAAAAAAAATTAATTTTCAAAACTCTTTACAATTTTGACTCTCAGGGAGAAAAAAAAAGTTACTTTTGAGTAAACAAGAAACTTTTTTAATTAAGAGAAAAAACCTTTTTCGTCATATAAAAGAAAATTCTTATATAAATATAAGAATTTTTGCATATTTTTTAAAACTGAAAAAGTCTTTTATTTAATATCACCGTGATAAAAGTTTTTTTTTTTTTCAGTAAATGGGTCTATTACTTTACTTTTAACAGCATACATGAATCTTCATTTTTTTCTCATTGGAAAAATTTTCAAAACTATATCGAGAGTATATGGTTTAATGGTGAAAAATATAGAAAAATTTTGCCATAAATAAAAAAAAAAAAAGATTTTAGTATTGTTAGTTGGGATAATAATTTTAAAAAGGTTAAGTAATTAATTTGAATATCCATTTGCTCTTATTATACGAGACATGGATAATATTTTTTGATTAACACTACTATATACTCTCTGAATGAGTGTGTAGGTAAAACGTTTCTAACAAATTATTGTACAAGAATTATTGATAATTTACGAGAGTCAACAATTTATTGATATACGGGAATACAAAAGTAGAGAAATAACGTGTGCTCTGGTTAATAACATCGATAATTCAATTTTCTATATGCAACTTTACATTGTTAAATTATTATTTATATAGATATACAAAATAAATATATAGATATTTGATTTATGTCATTGCAATTCTAATTTTAATTCTCTCTGAAAATAATGCATAATTTGCAAAACATGAAAGCTATTTATAAGTTCAATCACATTGTTAATCTTGATAGTTATAATTGAAAATCATAAATTTGTTAATTTCACTAACATATTTGACAATTTTTGATATATTACAATCAGAAAAATAAAAAATATTCGTGAAGTTAAAATCAATGTTAATAACACTGTGCTATTTTAAAATTTGAACAAACTTGGCATCTATATCAGATAAACCTAATTCAAGTACTCGCGGGTTTTTGAGATCGCTAATTACGAATTTGATGGCAGTTTTCAAAAATTAAAAATGGCGGATACAATATGGCGGAAGAAAAAATTAAATGAATTTGCTTGAAGCTTGATATGCCTGAAGTTCTAAACGTTCAAAGGAACGAAAGAAATTTTACTACTTTTTTTAACTTTTTTATAATTAAATATTGCTTTTTTTATTTAAAAATTAATTAATAATTGATTGAAAATTTTTAGGCCAGGTTGAGAATATGCAAAATTGCTTTATAAAAACAAAACACTGCACAAAAGAAACACTGTATTTATTTGTTATAGTTGTTCACGGAATTAATATTATACTTGAAGTTGCTGAAAAAATAATAAATTGCGTCATTTGACATATCATCCCTGTCGGATTTGATTTGCAGATGTTGTTAGATGGCAGCAACATGCAGGGAGCACAAAGTTGCAGCTGTCATATTACTTAAAATTAGTGATTACTAGCATTAGTATAAATAAATGATTAATTTTTTTATAATATGTATTAAAAAAAACAATTTCATTAAAGAATTGTGAATATAAAATAAAAATTCTGCAACTTTTTTTTTTAAAAAAAAGAATTTTTTTAAAAAATTGTAATTGTTAAATAAATTTTAATCTAAATTTTTCTTATTTTTATATCCAAAAAAATAAAATTTTTGTTGAAAATTATGATGGCAAAATACAAATTTAACTAAATTTTTTGATCTTTTATTTAAGAATTTTTTTAAAAGTTTTAAGGGGGGAACACCAGTTGTAACTCAAAAAATAATGCTTTTTTCAAGAATATTTTCCAAAAGAACAATGAATCTTTTTAAAGAATACTATTTATTAGTTAAAAGTACATGTAAAAAGCTGTAATTTAAAAGAAAAAAAAAATTTTTTTAACAAAAACTTTTGGAGATATGAGCCATTGAAGTGGCGTCTTAAGAAAAAAGGCGAATTGCGGTGACCAGCATTCTGCAAGTATACTTCGTCTGAAATACAAAAATGAAATTGATTTACATTTATTATAAGATTATCTAGTTCGTGATCGAAGGATTTAAAAAAAAAAAAAAATTTGACAAAATGGCGACCTGTCAAAGTCAAAAGTATGATTTTCGTTAAAAAAATACGGTCGATTTTCAGCTATATAAAAAAAAGTTTTGATTAAAAAAAAAAATCCTTCGATCACGAACTAGACTTATATGTGTAAATGAAGCACACTAAATTTTAAATAAATCGGTTTAATGGTATTCGAGTAATCGTGGTCACCGACTTGGAAAATGTCATTTTGAGAAAAACGCATTAAAAGTTTCAACTTACTTTTTTTTGTTCAGAAGAAATTTTGTTTCTAAGTTACAAAGAGTCATCGATTCCTGGACCATATAATAACTCTTCCGCAGTGGTTGCCGTTTCTAAATCATAGGAAAAGGCCATCTGTCGTTAGGGTCAGGTATGGCTGGCCACCTTGTATGAAGCCACGGGACGCGCCGCTGCAGTGTTCTGTATATCTCATTTATTTTTCACCGGATCAACTTTGAAATTTACAGACACATTTCTAAATATGTATACTTTAAGAAAATGCACCAAAAAAAAAATCGATTTTTCGAAAGTTACAACTGGTGTTCCCCCCTTAAGGAAAAATTTATAAAAAATATATCAGCTTAATTTTTATTATTTTAACAAAATTCTAAAGTTTTTTTTATAAATAAAGTAAAAAATTGCATATTGTCTATTTGATGAATGTTTAAAATTTGTAACTCTTTTCAAATCTTGGCGCGCGTTCCGCCGTTCGGAATTGAAACATAATTTGCTATAGGTATCGGGCATATCTGAAGTGACAGATTTGACAAATTTCACTTTTTTCCTTAATAATTAAATAATTCTCAATTAATTTAACATAAACAATGCAGAAGTGAACTCTTAAGAAGTCCATCTCTCAATTATAAAATGTTTTTTGAACAATTTTAGCTTATTTATCAATTTTTTTACGTTATTCCTAATGTTGACCCAATCGCAATTGGGTAAATCAATTCCGCCAAGTGCACTTATAATATCACGAAAAACATTAACAACTTCAATGAATTTTATGTTATTTATTACAACCAAAACACAATAAAAAATAACGTTATTTAGACTGAAAATTACTCAAAATTAAAGAAAATAAACGACGTATTGGCTGACACAAGTCAACACTTTAAGGCGTTGTCCGCCATCTTGAAATGCAATCACATGTTTGTTTCCTAGTCATGCGCGGGCATAAATCCCACGTGGGACATCCCAGGTATATTCCGCACGTGACATCCAAATTTCCGTCCTGTGGGATATCCACGGGATATTTCATGCTGTGAGGATGGCTATTTTTAAATTAGTCTAACATAAATAGAAATATCAATTAATTTAAAATTTTTTGCCATGGTGCAGTTTATAACAGTTTCTGGAGGTTGGTTGATACATGCTGTAACTTAGTTTTTTTTATTCATAAATACGGGTAACTATTCCTTATGCGCCGCAGTAAACGATTTATCGTACATTCAGTAATTTTGGAGGTTAAAAAAAAATCTTTCCTTTAAAAAAACGACTTCCAGTAATAAAATGGTGTACCAAGTTTTAAATATTTATTTTGCTCTTATATATCATATAAATAATATAATTTATTGATAAAATCATTAATTTTTATAAAATATTTTATATATTCTATGATATATAAAATTGTTACAACCAACCCCTCGTACTCCTATATCATTAAATATGAAAACATGACTTTTTCATATCTAATGACGTAGTTGATGACATTTTCCAAATGAAAAGCCATTTATAATTTATGTGTTATTTATTATTAAAGGTCACATGGGTCAGACGAAGGGATAGACAATTATTGACTGTTGGTGCTACTACTCATTCTGTCGACTCAAGATTTATGATTAGGCCCTCAAATACTGACTGGACACTTCTTATTCATAAAGTAACTCTCGAAGATGCTGGACTTTACGAATGTCAGGTAATTAATTATTTCTGAACGAATTTACTTTTATTATTGTTATTAATTAAAAGTCTAAAAAAAGTGATAATTTAATTTAACTATATTAAAATTACATTTTAACAATTATCACTAAGCAAAAATGTGCGATTTATTTAATATAACTTTAGCAATTATATTAAACATAAAAATAAATATTTTATTGAAAAGTAACCAATATGTCCTCAATAAAAAAACGGAAAATTTCTTTAAAATTATATTTCCCTTGATAGAAGAGTGAGAGAGACAATTTAAAAAAATAATAATCTATACGAATTCTGTCAAAAGAATTTTAATTTCTTTAAAAGTACTCTCAACTTTCAACCCTGCGGCAATCGCGCCTGATGAGAATTTCTCTCACGTTGTTTTTCTTTAGATACTTCTTTTTAGTTTAAAAATCTTCAGAATAAAAAAAACTTGAAACTTTTTTCCACCTCTCTAACAGATCTTATATATATGATATATTGGTTTTTATAAGAGAAAATGTAAAAACGTTTCTCACACACATGTGATCTCGAGGGTTGACTCAAACTCTTGATATTTGCAGAAGAAACTTTATTTTGTTATTATAATAATTCATCTTTTTTATATACAAATGTAAACAAAAAATACTCAGATTTTCAAAAAATTTAAATTAAAAATTTTAAATTAAAATTTTTCAAAAAAACTTACATCTTTTAAAAAAATTATTTATTTTTATTTGAAAAAACTAATAATATAACATATGAAAAGAATTTTAATAGAAAATTAAGCTTTAGTAATAAAAAAACTAATTTCAATTTTTAAAAATTATTTTAGGTAGCTTCCCATCCTGTTCAACAGAATTTTGCTCGATTGAGAATCACAGAGGCATATTCGGAAATCCCAGGAGCTCCCGATCTTCATGTCAAACAAGGATCGAGTCTTCGTTTAGAATGCGAACTCATGTCAGCCACAGAAGCACCACTTTATGTGTTTTGGTATCGTCAAGGTCGAATGATAAACTACGATTCAGAGCCCGGTGTTCAAGTGGAACTTACAAAGAGTGGATCTGTTCTCATGGTTCACAATACAAAATTAACGCACGGAGGGAATTACACTTGTGCACCAAGCAACGCAAAGCCCGCGTATGTTATGGTACACGTAATTGAAGGTAAATTTAGCACTATTTATTATAATTTATGTCTTTATGCAAATTTCAATTGCTTTCTTATTTAATATGCATTTATTATTTATATTTTTTTATAAAGATTTATTTTTTATAAATTACATAAATTTTCTGTACAATGTGGATGTACTCAGTAATTATAATGTGTAACATGATAAATTATAAAAATTATTTATTAGCTACTGTACGGGTTTTCCTTTTCCAAATTTTCTCAAATTAAATTAATATGTAAAGATGAACGAGAAATTCCCTTCCAAGTGTATATTTTGATAAGAAATAAAATTCGACCAATGGAAGGTAAAAAAAACCCTTAAAAATAAACTTATGCTATTTTGTCACTAAATAATAATAATACCTGAATATTTAAAATAATATTACATTGCAGCTAGTCAATGTTAAAATTTATCTTTAAAATTATCGTTAAAAAATAAAAAGTAAAACACTACAAAAATTAGATACGCGACAATTTTCGTCATTTCGATGCGAGCATCAAATCAAAACTGAATTAAAATTTGTTTTGGAGAAATACCACACGTGTTAAAAAAAGGAAGTCAATGAACTCATAGGTAAATAGTGTATAGAGAAAAAAACTTTCACGATTCTATTATGAATTTAATTTTCTAATAAGAGGGAAATACGTTTTATTAAGAAAACAAATATCTTCTTTCTTATTAATTGTAGAATCGTTACTTAAAATATGAATCATTTCGGAAATAGAGCGTTTTTTATCATTTTTTTCACGATCAAGTATAATGGTATTCTTCCATTCGAAGTCCTGGTCAAAATTTAGTTGATGTGCACGAACCACAGATTTATTGTTTTTATTATTTTTATGTTCATTGATACGCGTGTTCAATGAACGTTTTGTTTGGCCAATATAATTTGCAGGGCAACTCTTGCAATTAAATTTGTAAACAACATTCGTATCTCGCCACTTCTCGGTTTTATCTTTACCGAGTTTTATTATAGATTTGAGATTTTTATTAACAATCGGAATGGAATGAATATTATGTGGTTTAATAATTTTTGACAACTTAGCAAAATCAGAATTGTTAAAAAGTAAACAAATTTTAGGAATTTCTTTATAAGCCAGAGATCGTGTATTTTTGGAATTCGAGTCTTTATTTTTAAATCTAATTTTGTTTAAACGGATTTTAATATATTTTTTATAAAAAAGAGGGGGTAATCGTTATTTATCAAAATTGTTTCTACTTTTGATAAGTTATCCTTACGAAACGAATGGTGAGAAAGAAGAATTGCTCTGTCAACGAGATTGTATACAATGTTGATTTTTTGTTGAATTGGATGATTTGAAAAGTAATTGATAAGTCTACCTGAAGATGTTGGTTTTTGGTACCAGTTATTTATTAATTTATTGTTTATGACATTTAAAGTAATATCTAGAAAATTAATTTTATTATCCATTTGTAGTTCATGAGTAAGCTGTAAATTATTATTGTAAGAATTAAAAATGTTGATGACCAAGTCGATATGGTTCTTATGAACGCAAATGATCGTGTCATCAACATATCTATAGTAAAATAATGGAATACAATTATATTGAGATTTTAAGATGTTAAGACAATCACATTCTAAATCATCCATTACAATATCGGCGAAAAGTAACATTGCTGCTACTAAATTATCTTTTAGGACTTCTCCAAGTCCAGTTAATTTATTTACTAAATCTAACATCTGCGTGACATGTTCTTTTGCATCACCACCTTCTTCTAAAGTCATTCGACAAATTCTTTTTAATAGAAAACCTTACTTAATAGATTAGACTTCTAGTGATGACTTTTAAGCGCATCCCAAGTTTCCTTAGCAGTTGCTGCATTCCGAATGTGTATTAATTGGTTATCATCAACCAAGAGTCCAATTGTTGCATAAGCTTGATCATCACTCCTTTTCCATGCCGTATCTGGATCATTTGGTGTATCTTCTTTGATGACATCCCACAATCAATCTTTAATCATTAGTAACTCGATTTTGTATTTCCAAATTTCATAATTATCACTGTTAAGCCTGTCAACTGCGAAACGCATTCTGGAACTGTCTGTCATTTTGATTCACTGAAGTTCACAGTTCACATAAAACTACTTCCGTTGAGCAGTATGTACAGTCACACACTATATATAAAACATCATGCACATTTCACTTATTAAAAAAAACTTTACACCTTCTATTATTTAGATCTCTGAGGGACTGGGCCCATAACATGTCAGAGTTTTTAATGGAAGTTAGAGAAAAAGTAATATGTTAAGGTATAATGAACGAACTTTATTCAATCACTTTAACTTTGCACTTTATTTGCAGATTGTTTAAATAGTTTAACGTCCGAGAAATATATTAATTAGAAGGTTTTGTATGAATAAAAAACGATAACATTCGGACCATTGTTGTTTTAATAAAAGTTTACTCCAACGTTTCGAAATCTAAATGATTTCCTCTTCAGGGAGTCAAATAAGAAACATATGTCAAGTCATAGAAATAATGGTCAATTGCGGTGTCAAATTAATAAAAACAAAACCACCCTAACGTTGGAGAGAAACATAGAGTCTGGAGTTCAAATCAATCAATCCATTTTTTTAAAAAAATTTAATAATTGAACAGACACATTATAAAACAAAACATATGATAAATAAATAAAACACATAATCCATAAATAAACAATATAAATTGAAATAAATAAAATAAAATATTATGTGTTCTTTTCCCAACGTCAACTTTAAAACAATTGCAACAATTTTAAACAATTTTTTTAAACAATTTTAAATCAATTTGCAGATTGATTAAATAAATGGTTATTATACATTTAGTTGTTTGAATATAAAGACAGTGACAATATTTATAACGATGCTTCTGTCATCAATTCTGACGAGGTACTGACTCGTTGAATATAGGTAAGACCCTATGCAAGGTCCTGTACTTGGTCCCGAGATGTACCTGGGATGACCGCCATAAAATTGCCAAACGTCTTTTTGGCTATGTCGTTCCAATACCAACAATAAATAACAAAAATTAAATTTAAAAAATTAACTACATTTCTGAACCTATTGAATCGGGTCTCTAGTTGTTTGTGACCATTCGTTCGGGAAATCCGTTAAATCAAAGTAACAAGGATAAAATTCTCGTTTCAAATAATATGCAACATTACAATAATTCGATAATATTCCGTCTATCTGATGATATCATATTTATAAATATTCCCAATTCTGTCAGAAATATAATTAATAACAAATTTTTTTAGCCTTTTTTCTAAATATGCCGCTAGGTGGCAGCTACTAAACACGTGTTCACATGTGTCTCGGTTGATTTTGTTTAAATAAAACGGTTTAAGTTTGGTCTGTTCTTTTACAACCTTATAGTTATAAACATTATTTTGTGCTGGTTTTTAGTGAAAGTTTTTTATTATCTGCACCATTTGCCTTAACTTGGCTCTCTGATTTGAATTTTTTCTAACCTAACATTGGACTGATATACTTGTGTGAAGTTTTTTGTTTATGTAACTTCAATTGGAACTGTTTTCGCTCAATTTACTTTTTATTTTTATTTGAATGATTATTTGTGTGCAAAAATGGCCTCTAGTGTTGAAAATTGTGCAAAATGTGGTAAAGATATTACACGTGCTATTCCTACTTTGTGTAGGAAGTGTAATCTTCCTTATCATCCCAGCTGTGCGTTACAGCTGTCTACTTTGCCTGATGGGTCGTTCACCAAATGTTGTAAACCTAGGTCATTGTCTCCTTCAAATAATTCTCAATCTTCACAAACCTCTGTTAACTTGGATAGTATTTTGAGAGCTATTAAGGTTTTATCAACAACAGTTTCTGATAATTTTGCCAATATGACTGAAAACATGTCAGATATCAACAAAAAACTCGATGACACACTGTGTAGGCTGAGTAATATGGAAAGCAGAGTTGTTGATTTGACAGAGCGTCTTAATGTTGTCGAAGAGAGACTTGATAAATCTGAGGCAAATGGTTCTACAAATATTGATTCTAATTCAGTAACTAATGTCTGTATAAATGAACTTGTTGATCGAAATGAAAGAAAGAACAATCTTGTTTTATTTAATCTTCCAGAATTGGACACTTCGTCAAATAATAGTTGTTCTTTGAAATCTGTGGTTACGAATAAATTAAAAAAATTCATTCAAACAGATGATCTTGAAAATATACGCACATTTAGAATTGGTTCTAATGCGCAGGTTTCTCGTAAGCCTCGCCCTGTTAAGATTGTATGTGAGACGGAAGAGAAGGCACAAGTAATTCTAAAAAAATTTGTAAGTGTCAAAAGAGACTCAACACGTTCAAGGGAGTTGGAAGATCTTTGGATGTCGAATGACAGGACGGTTATGCAGAGGGAGGAGATTAAGAGAGTGAGGGAGGAACTAGAGACCCGTCGATTAGACGGAGAAATGAATGTGTCAATGGTCTACCGGCGTGGAATCCCTACCATAATTAAAATCCCCCTAGAAATCGCACATCCACTCTTGCAGTCCAGATAGATGCGTGTAAGGAGAATCTATAGTTATTTCCCCACTTGGTGCCCAAGGTTGTGTCCCTTCCTTGAGATAAACTTATTTTATTTCTATCTATGAAAGTGATTTAAGGAAATACATACAGAACTAAACGTAGACATTGTGATTTAGATAAAATCAGTATTATTGAACAATAACAATTATTTTTGAAATTAATTGATATAATGGTAAAGCAGATTCTATTTATCGAAAATTAATCTTCTCTTTTGATAATAATGTAATTTGATTTATGTTATTCTTTACTGTATAAACTTATAATGAACTTTAGCCATTATAGCGCCTACCTAGATTTAGTTAATATTTTATATTTTGTATTGTTACTTACGTAACTATTAGAATTTAGGAGTACTTTTGTACGAAAGGGCATGTCCCGTTATGTTCTAAATAAATAAATAAATAAATAAATAAATAAATAAACATGTTTTTAACTGCCAAGATG